GAAGATTCAGCAACTCATCTTGATTTTTATCTTTAATAATAAATTTTTTTCCGCAATGCATACACCGATCGCGGAAGTTATTAGGGGTTTTCGTTCTTGATAAGAATCTCCATTCGAAATGCGGGGTTAGTCACCTATCCACCAGATCCCAGTAATGTTTGGATATGGAAGTTTGATTTTTTAGGGCTCGATATTTAAAAGAGCGTCTATGGTTGTATAGACGCTGCTTCCAATTACCAGCGGATATACCTATGTATCTTTTTTTCTGGTTGATATTTTCTCCAGGGAAGATTGTTCATATATTACATTCTTATACATACATATAAAAAATGTATAAGAATGTACATATATCACATTCTTATACATACATTTTCCCCCGATTGGACAATTGGCTCTACACCTACAATTGCAGGTGGGACTACTAGCTCGAGTTTCACTACTATGGTAGTTCTTAAGTATTTTACAATTGTGGGAAGATATAATTTTCTCCATATTACTTACACATGAATTTTCAGTGTCTTTCTATTGAAAATTTTATGTAGTGGATGTTTATTATGAAAGTGTTTGTCTATTAACCTTAGGAAGAAACTTCCTATATCAATGTTCGAATGCCTGCAATACGGTGAGTTAAACCATATTACTTACCTCTTTTTGTTTTTAGGTCTATTATTATTATGATTTTCTAGTTCTTCGTTATAGTTTAATTCCTGTCAAAAACCACTATTTTTGAGAGCATGTTTGTATATAAATTCATTTTCATTAAAGATTTTTCGCATTAACAGTTTTGTGGGTGTAATCTATTACAGATTTCGGGTGGTTAGAGTGGACATTGATGTATAGGGGTGTATTATATATATATATATATATATATATAATTATATATATATATAATTATATATACCTGCCTCATCAAACCGAGTACATTTTATTAAATACCTGCTGAAATAAATTCATAACCGATTTATATGATGTTTTAATTTTTTCCTTTCTATTATTTATATTGCTCTCTATATAAATTTATACACTGAGCACTCTTCATGGATTTGACTTTTTAATATTTTTATATTAAAAAGGCCTATTTATATGATATATATATATATATATATATATATATATATATATATATATATATATATATATATGTATATCACTAAGATACTGAATTATTGATATACCCATGCACATTTAGTTAGATCAATAAACTTCTAGTAATATACGTAGCTGTTATTACTTCTCTTATTTATCCAAAACTTATGTCCAGGATGAAGATTCTAAACTTTTTACGTTTCCCAGAAACTGAAGCACTTGGTCACCATTTGAAGGAAAAGGAAATAATTCAAAATTCTGTCTGAACTTTAGAAAAAGAATTTCTATCAGAACAGTTGTTTGCTTAGTAAGAGAAGTGGGACACACATTTAAATAAATTTGTTACTTTAAGTCAGTTGAGTGTTCCAGGACTTTAAGAATTTAAATTTGTAAAATGACATAATCAAGATGATATTTCACACTAAATCAAATAATAGGTTAGGAAGGAAAACCCCATCAACAGTGGTAAGCGCTTATGGCAGCTACAGAACTTAAACCTATTTTTCTGTAAAAACGTTTTAAAAGAAAGATTTTATAAATTTCAACCGAGAGTGCTGACTGCTCGGTTAATGAATGTTGAATGCTTCCTCAAAAGGAAACAGCTAAAACAATATGGCAGTTTATCTGAATTATAATTCTTTCTCTTAGAGTATTTATTTCCATTTAAAGTGAAGACTAAGAGAGAGAGAGAGAGAGAGAGAGAGAGAGAGAGATACAAAATCTAAGAAAGTGAGATACAATTCAATATCTAAGAGAGAGAGAGAGAGATTCAAAGACTACGAGAAATACTCAATTCAAAGACTAAGTGAGATAATTGAAAGAGAAGAAGAGATAATCATTTCAAAGAGAAAAAGGGATATTCAATTCAAAGAGAAAGAGAGACAATTCAAAGACTAAGAGAGAGAGAGACAATTCAAAGTCTAAGAGAGTGAGAGAGAAATATAATTCAAAGACTAAGAGAGAGAGAGAGAGAGAGAGGGGGGAGAGACAATTTAAAGACTAAGAGAGGTACACGATTCAAAGACTAAGAGAGTGAGAGAGATATAATTCAAAGACTAAGAGAGAGAGAGAGACAATGCAAAGACCAAGAGAGAGAGAGACAATTCAAAGACTAAAAGAGTGAGAGAGAGATATAATTCAAAGACTAAGAGAGAGAGAGAGAGAGTGAGAGAGAGAGAGAGAGAGAGACAGAGAGAAATTGAAAGACTAAGAGAGGTACACGATTCAAAGACTAAGAGAGATAATCCATTCAAATGTTGAGAGAGATACATAATTCAAAGACTAAATATAGAGATATAAACAATATGAGAGATATAAACAATATGAGAGATATAAAAAAATCCAAGACTAAGTGAGATAAATGGTTCAAACCCTGAGATGCACATTTCGAAGACTGAGATAGATATTCAATTTAAAGATTAAGCGTGATACCCACTTCAAAGACTAAGAGAGATAAACAATTCAAAGACTTTTGCCGAAAACTATCAACTGGCGGTTTCATGAAAATCTTTATTAATTTGATTAAATGGAAAAAAAATTCGAAATGTTTTTATGGTAATAATTCAATTAACTCCGTGTTATCTCTACAATAACGAATTTTATTCTAAACTTTATGAAGATTTTGTTTTATAAATTATGTCTTGAATTTCAAATTCAAGTTATGAATTCATTAAAATTTGATAACTTTTATCTTGCATAAGTTTTGATTTGAGATCGATTGACCTTTGGTTTTTTATTAATATTCAACAGCTTTTATGTTTATTTGTAATGAAAATAGGTGAGACAATTTTCCACTAGAATTTTTAAAAAAATCAATTTCTGATTTAATTAAAAATATCAGACTAGTTGCCAGGATTCGTGTATACGTTTAATACCGACTGCTTCTGGATATTAATAGTCTTCGATTTCCGACACTAACGAAAAGATTTTAAAATTTAACTTGATTAAAAATCATAATTTTAGGAATATTGATTCAGTATCGTATTAATTAGGTTTGACTACACCTTCTAACGATTGCTTACCTCCAAAATAATATTGATTTGTCTTTAAATTTTACATTAAAACCAGAAAAAAACGCAGGTAGTTTAATATCATTTATTTCTTTGAAATAAACATTGGAAAAGTTTTAGATTCGATTTCGGATTCATTTAAGAATTTCTTTCAGTTTCCAGAACTCATTTTTCTTGCATCTAATTTGATTCAAATCCGATGAGTTTTTGCTTTTTTAACGCTCAAATTGAAACTTTTCCTGACCATGACCTCATTTTGATTGTTATTAACACAACGTTTCGGTAATTTTGAACTGAACCCTTTTTTTTATTTTCGTTCCACTGTCCATGTCTAAAGATATCTTCTTTTCCTTGATTCGTTTATCGAACTCCAGTGTCCCTCGCCACACACACACACACATATATATATATTTGTGTATTTAGGCAGCAATCCGTCTTTTATGCAGATTTCATTGAAAACGACAGACAAGGTGCTTTTATTTAGTTTTTTATACAATTTCTTATGCGATCTAATAATGATAAATTATATAAAATCTGTCCGAATGTTCTTTTTATCCGAGCGCTTTCGGCTATACATTTAGCCATTTTCAAGTATTGAATATTTTAACTGTTAGATAAGAAATAGTTTTTTCATTTTTTCAAAACACGGTCAAGATATTATGTCCATGTTCAAAGTTAATATTATTAAGTGTTGGTTTGTTTTTATTAATAAGGCTTTCATTATTTTTAGCCTTTTTTGTATGTAGATGATGCAATTATATTAGTGTTGTCAACAAGTATGCTACGAAAAGTGTCCGTTAGGTCTCCATGAATATTTAAATGAGATCTAATTGAGCTATTGTCAGAAAGGTGTAGAGAAATTGTAGAAAAAGTTATAAGTATATTTAGTTTTGTTTTCAATAGGTTAAAAGGATGCAATGGATAGCGGTTCGGAATGTGATGTCGAGGATCAGAGTTCAAATTACAGTCGAGTTTTTTGCGTTCGTTTACGAGCAAATAACATTGTGAAAGATATGAATACATCTCTGCCTCCCAGTTATGTGCAAATAGAAGAGTAAGTTGGTTGGCAACCATTCTAAGATAGGGAAAACTCTACTGAAGAGTTTTGGGCTCCATCATGCTATATTGCCTAAGAAACACCACTGCTGCCCTTACGAATCTTAGGAGTTATGAAATTCGGGATCATCATCGTCATCATGAGTCCTGTTCCCATTGATCTGAGTCTGTACTGCCTGACCATGGAATTGAACTCACAATGATACCAAATTCCCCAAACAACGTTTTAATTCTCAAAGGGAACAAAGTTGAAACGTTGCAATATCATGAGGATAAGGGACTTTAAATAATATAAATAAATCTCTGATGTAAGTAAAAATAGCGATTTTCCAAGCGTAGCTCAGATGTGGCACAAGGCCGAAAGTATTGGTCACCCAGTGAGTTCGATCCTCACTACCTAGTCGTAATTGTTCTACCGAGACAAGCTTGCTAACCATTACACCGCCTCGAGGTGCCCTGAGGTAAGTAAAAATATATCAGGTTGATGTAAAGGTTTCTTGTCCTTTTATTATTAAAATGTTTTTCTTTTTGTTTGTTTTTTTATTCTTACTGTGGTTTCAGTTTTCCAACAAGAAAGTGTACTCAGAACTTTTCTAATACTAATAATTCGTTGAGTATTTCCTTCAACCAGAATGAATTCACCGACTGACTTATGTCAACGTATGAAGTCATTTTGCCAGTCTACTGGAAATCTCTTTAGAAATAATCAAACTCTTAGAATAAAAGCAATGAAATAGCGACCCTGATTTCTATATTTTGTCTTATGGATGAAGCGAATGTCTGAAAATATCGTTTGTTCTTGTATTAGACCGTTTCTAAAGTGGACTGCAGTCTGATTGCCATGTCCAGTCAGCTTATTTGCTCGACGGCGTTGAACAAATCAACAATAAGAAGAAAAAAAATGGCGTTAAGTGGTTGTTTGTCGTTGAACGAAAACTTAGCGATCATCATGAATTGAAGGAATAGCGCAGTGAAAGAAGGCTTTTTACGCGGGTTGAGTTCTTGGAGGAAAATGAGAGAGGAAAGAAAGAAAGACAGATACAAATATTTGGAGTGTTTGGAGCACCCCCCACCAAACACAAACAAAAACAAACAAAAAAAATTGACATACTCAAAGAAAAGAAGTAAAGCAAACTATAGGAGATCAAACGGATAGAATGATAAAGGGAAAGAGAGAAAACGAGACATAGAGAGAGAGAGCGAAAGAGAAAAAGAGAAAATAAAGTGGAGAAAAAGAGAGAAAATGAGAGGAAAAAGAGGAAAACAGATAGGACAATATGAGAGAGTAAGAAGAAAAGTATGAGAAGAGGAGGAGAAAGCAAAGGGAAATTAAGGAAAAAAGGAAAAGATAAATGAGAAAGAGTGCGTGAGAAATGAGGAAGGAGGAGGAAAAATGGGAAAATAGTTATTACGAAATAAGAAAGAATGGGAAATGAATTAAAGAGAGAGAGAGAGAGAGAGAGAGAGAGAGAGAGAGAGAAAGAGAAAGTGAGAGAGAGAATGAATGAAAGAAAGCGTGATGAAGAAAGGTTGATCAAATAGGATGAGAATGAAAATAGAAAGTAAAGCGAGGAAAAAAAGAGGGAAAAGGAAAGAAAATAGTAAGAGAAAACAGAGAGAAAGAAAGAGAGAGAGAGAGAGAGAGAGAGAGAGAGAAAGGGGGGGATAGTAAAAAAGACGACCAAGAAAAAATAAAAAGGACGGAGAATGACAGACAGAGATAAGGAAAGAGAAGAAAGATACTTTCAGGTAAGGAGAAATGAAAGATAAAAATGGCGAGGAAGATAAGAAAATGAAAGGAAGAAGTGAACAGAATCAAGAACAGTGTCTGATTGGGGAGAGAGAGAAAGGAAGAAATAGAAAGCGAGAGATAGAAAAGGAGAGAGAGAAAGGAAGAAATAGAAAGCGAGAGATAGAGTAGTTGAATAGCAAGATAGCTATTGAAATATTTTTCTTCTGACGTCAGTGCAAAGGACAATCGAAGAAGTGTTTGAACAATTTGGACAAACATAATCTTTGGATTGTTTGGTGCAGAAGGTCAACAATGTCTCGTTCAATGATTAAAATATCAAATGAGCAAATTGAATATCTCACGAAGGAAGGAAAGAAGAAAGGAAGGAAGGAAAGAAGGAAGTGGTAAGTAATAATCATCAGTTAAGGACAAAAGAAAGAAAGTAAAAGAGAAAAAAGGCAAAGGAAAAGAAAAGGAATAGAAAATAAAGAAAAAAAGAATGGCGAGAAGAATAAAGCAGAGAAGGGAGATAAAACAGAAAGGCAAGATAGAAAAGAAGAAAATAAAAAGAGAAGAACGAGAAATAAGAAGAACGAGAAAAAGGAAATGGAAGGAAAAGTAAGAAGTGAAAAGAAAGAAATGCGAAAACTGAAAGAAAAGAAAGAATAAAAAAAGAGACGAGAGAAGTAGCGAAAGAAGAAAAAAGAAAAGAAGAGAAGAGAGAAAAGAAAGAAAGAAAAAAGAGAAGAAAAGAAAAGAAAAATATGAGAAAAAAGAAAAATGAAGAGAAAAAAGAAAAAGAGCGAACGAAAAAGAAGAAAAGAAAAGGAGAGAAGCAAAGAGAAAAACAAGCAGAAGATGTTTATGTAAGAAAAGAATTATAACGTATTTTATTTGGAAATATCAAGAAAAACAGAAAAGATAAGCTAATGGTGTCGTATTTTATAATTAGTTAAAGATCGAATTTTTGTTGGGGGAAGAGAAGTAGAATTAAAAGTGTGATATTACTGTTTAAAAAGATAGAATTTTGTTTCAAATAATTGACAGTAAAAACAACAGAAACGGAAAGGTTAGACGAACAAAGAAAAAAGGTAAATGTTCAAGTATGGCGAAGAAACTGAGATGAAAAATATATAAAAATAACAAATATCATACGATGAAATGAAAGCAAAAATAAAAAAAAATATACACCCCACCATAAATAAATGAGGCAGCTGATGAAAAATGTATGAAAGTGTGAGATAAATCAAAGGAAAGAAGGAAGAAAGGAAAGAAAAAAGGGAAGAAAAACAAACTGAGTGAAGGAAATAATAAGAAAGGATAAATAAAAAAGGCGCAAGAATATATTTAGATCGATTGAGAATTGATGTAAAAGAGTGCAATTGTATTAAATAATGGATTAAATCTTATCGCGGTAGAAAACAGGCATAAAATGTTCATCGCAGACTAGCTAAGCGGAGTACTTTTAGATAATAAAAATAGTGCCAAGTGACAAACAGGACCGACAGACAGGCAGATTAGTTTAGTTTGTTTTTACGACATATCAATCTCAATAGGTTATTTAATGCCGACAAAATTTTTATTGCTGGTAATATTTTTTTTATCTATCTATCTATCTATCTATCTATCTATCTATCTATCTAAATATATACTGGAATAGTTCAGTATATATTGATTTAGTTTGGTTTGTTTTACGGCATATCAACCTCAATGGCTTATTTAATGCCGACAAAATGTTTATTGCTGGTAATATCTATCTATCTATCTATCTATCTATCTATCTATCTCAGTCTATTCTATCTCATCTATCTATCTATCTATCTATCTATCTATCTATCTATCTATCTATCTATCTATCTCAGTCTGTTCATATCTATCTATCTATCTATCTATCTATCTATCTATCTATCTATCTATCTATTTCATTATATATTGATTTAGTTAGGTCCTGTCACAGGATCTAACTAACGCCTTTATCCACTGTGCCATGTGCCCTTGAGAGTGTGAGTTCAATACCCGGTTAAGGCAGTGGAGAACTTGTAGAAGGGAATTAACAGGAGATAATTGATAACTGACATCCATTAAACATGGCACGTGGAACTAGAACAGTCTACACCAGTGAGCGAAATAAAGTGTTCAGTTGGACATTCCAACCACCTGAAGAAGGCCGGAGCATACAACGGCCGAAACGTTGTAATAAATATGGCGACAAAGTTGAGGGCAATAGTCCGAATAATGTACATAGTGTAAATTTATAATTATTGATATTTATAACCCAAAACAAATAAAGCGAAATGGAGTTAGGAAGACAATGTTGCGCCATATCAGAATTATACTTCTTTTGGAAATCAGCAGTGAAAATATTAGCTTTAATTTGTTTTTGAACACCGATCGCTGGCGAGGGATTAACAATTACTTCATCGACAAGGTAGACACTATGTATTTAAATTTAACTTAATCTGGAACAAGGCCAGTAAGAGTAAATTGAAGTTTAGAAAGATTGTATTGCGCCAATCTCCAAAGTAGAGAAACTTTGCTTCTCTTGAAATCAGCGTTAGAATATATGTTTTATCTAGGTTCGAACTGGTCACCGATGGAGAAAGACTCAGTTATATCGGCAAGGAGAAAGGCCTAACATCTATTAAACTTAGTTTAGCTTGAAACAAAGTCACAATAATGAGGTACCCAATGAGGATCGAATTATTGTGCGAGACCAGGTTGCTAACTGCAACTTACAACAGGCGCCTTAAGGTGATAATGTTGCTATTCTCTTTCAAATCGTTTTGGTTATAATATTTTCACATATGCTTTAAAAGATAACACTTTCGCTATAATGCTTATTGTTCGAAAAATTCATTAGATATCACCCATCCAAATATTGACCGCTTTCAGTATTGTGTAACCTAAACCATTGATAACAATGACTTTCATGATCTTAGAGAGGTTTTAAAAATCTGCTCAAATGTCTAACAGAAAAGAAAGTAAATAAAAAGAAATCAAACAAAATATTGGATATTACACAATGTCAGTAAAATACAGGGTGTCCATAAAGTTCGTGTGCACTTTAACAAATTTATAACTTTATTTGTATTCGCGATAGAAATAATCTGTAAAAAATGTTATAAAGTTAAAATGTACCTAGTTTTAAGTATAGCTAAAATAACTAATGTGATTTCAGGCATTACTGTAAATCAGTTGGCAAATATTTTCCGTGAACTGAAAAATCGTATTTACCCTTTGTATTGCTAATGATGGAGGACATGTGGAAACTTAAATAAAATTTCAATAAAACCTAAAAAATATAGATTGACTTCTTTCTAATCCTTTTTACAAATTATTTCTATCGCAAATACAAATAAAGTTATAAATTTTTTAAAGTGCACGTGAACTCTATAGACACGTTGTATTTTCCAAGCAAAAGAATAATAATTTATTACGGTTGGTATGGCATAAGGTTATCAACGAGAGGATACCGAAAGTTTCCGAAACCATTTCCTAAAACCCAATCAAGTGAGCAAACTGAATTTTTGAGGAAGGACTTTTTAGTTGGACTGAGAAAATTTCAGCAAACCTCCTATCTATCTACTAGGCCGGTGTGTTTGTAAAATAGGTACTTCGATCAATATAATAATTTTTTATATATAAAAAATATTTTATAGCATAAGTTTAAATATCTGGGAATGTTTTAACAGCGGATTGAAAATGTGACCTCGAAATCTTAAAGCTCATTGGATTAGTGAAAGATGCCTTCGAAAAGCTAAGCAAAGTATGAAGAGACAGGAAAAAGTTCGTTAGAAAGAAAGAAAAGAGTGCTAAACTGCTATGTAATATAAATCCGCTTGTATGTCAGTGAATGCTGGACAATTTCCATGCAAAGAGAAAAGACCAAAGAAAACAGGAATGTGGTTATACTGAAGGATGCTGAGAATAACATGGACGGTGCGTTTAAACAACGAGGAAATTTAATAGAAAATGAAAACTTAAAGGATATATATTTAGAATCAGAAAGCTAAAATCTGTTGGGCAAATAATGAGGAAGAAGGGCTTGGAGAGTCTGACACTCATGTGACATCAAAGACAAAAGAGATAGGGGAAACCGCTGGGCACATATCTAACCAGTTTGTTTAAAAGAACGGGTGTGGGAGGATTGACAAAAAGACAAACGTTGCTGAGAACTGTAAGGGATAGGAAGTCGTGGAGAGCCATGATCACACTTTCTGAAGGGATACGGCACATAGAAGATAGATAAGGCTTTCCTGATCACGAATATATAAGGTAATAGGTTGGACCAGTTGCCTATGTAAATTCATTGATCCCACACCTACGGAAGCCAAACCAAATATACTCATACCAAGCGATTTCTTATAATGCAAAACAAAAAACAAACAAAAAAAACAATTTTTAAAATTTGTAATTCTGGAATTCTTTTGTGTTATACAGGGTGTTCTAGAATTCTTGGGCACATTTCAAGTCCTCATATCTTCTGAACTATGAATGACAGTAAGATGAAACTGGTACCATTTTAAAGCTAAATTCATTAAGGTTTTAGTAATGCTAAGGATTTTTCATATTTTTTCAGATCACGTTATGGCGTTTATTCAATCAGAAAAGGCGTTTTGCGTCCTTGAATTTGCAAAAACTGAACCATGGACACGTCTTCAACGTGTATTTCGCACAGAATTCCGAAAAGAAGTACCAGAAAGGAAGTCCATATTGAAATGGCATGGTAAATTCATGAAGGATGGATGTTTGTGCATAGCTAAGAGAACTGGATGTCACTCAACTTCAGATGATACGGTAGAGCGAGTTCGAACTGCCTTCAAGTGGAGCCCCTGTAAATCGATCAGAAGTGCCAGTAAGGAACTTCAGCTTCCTACAACAACTGTTTGGCGTGTCTTAAAAAGATGATTGCACATGACACTTTTACAAGCTACAGTTTACCCAACAGTTGCAGGACACTGATAAACCAGCTCGTCGTGATTTTTGCATTGCAATGCAAGAGAAGTTGGAAAATGAAGGAATTGATGTGTGCCGTGCGACCAACGGTGCTCACATTGAACATCTTTGAACATCCCATGTAAAACTTGAGATTAAATTATTTCAGAATATCTCAGGCTCTTTTTATATCCTTAATAGTTTTCGAGATATTCAATGTCAAAATGTTCCCAAGACTTTTGGAACACCCTGTATTACTGTGGATTAATTACTAAAATATACGGATTATGATTTTTCTTTAATTTTAAGAAATCATGTTGTATGAGGAAATTTTATCTTGACTT